AAAAAAAAAAAAAAAAAAAAAAAGATACTAGACCTTTTCCCACACGTGTTTGAGCTCTTAGCCTCACCTCGCTCCTAACTAGCTCCTCAAACTGTCTTTCCAGAGAAAGGGGGATGGCAGAGCTATCACTGCTCTGTTTCAGCTGTCTGGAGTGTTAGTCTAGTCCGAGCGAAATGGGCAGCGGCAGCTGCTGAGAGAAAACCACTGTGTGATGTGCTAGCAGAGCACAGCCGCCCCCGAGATACTCACGGACTGAAGACCCCCGCCAGCCGAGGCGCTCACCTCGTTGAAATGGACATCCTGCATTCCGACGTCTTCCATCATGGAGGCCTCCTCGTCTATGTTTGGGGTAATCACCCTGAATGCTGTGCATCCTTGTCTAAACATGCCTAGAATGGACATAGCAGGGGAGAGAGCCAGTCAGTAACCCGTAAGTGGACGGACTCTGAGGGTTCTTCCTGCCGCCATGTTTCTGTGTTGAAGGAGACAACGAACTCTGAAGTCTCTTATGTCTCAGGCCACTGTTCTCACAGGGAGCCACTGTGTGCTTCTCTTCATTTGCTTCCTCATACCTAGCGTTCTCCTCCCTCAGTTCTTTCCTCATTCTTTTAATTTCTCACCACCTTTATTAAAATGTATGCAACCTTTAAATAAACTATAAATAAACTGAAACAGGGACTGGATCCAAATTAGTAGTTTTTTAAAATAACAACAGTAATTTGATTTGGTACAGTGACCCATGCTCAGATACCAAGAAAAATAAAGCCAAAGCCAATCAAAGAGAAACATGACTCAAACAGAACTGTTTCCTTCAAGTTGTCACCTCTCCCACTGTGGCTGAGGGTAACCCAGAACTCAGATGAGAACTTGCTCTTCTCCTTCATGGAGCAGTCTGCCAAGAGGTAACTCACCAGCTGCAGCCATGAGCTGAGAGGCTGTTAGCTGGTTCCATATCTGCTGCCTGAGGGGTAAGGATGGGCCTCTTGTCCTCCCACAACCGAAGAGCAGGAGCACCGGCAGCATGAATACTGCAGGAGGCCTAAGTACTCTAATTCTCTAGGGGAAATCGTACAAGGTTGGAGCTGGGATAAATAACCGGGATAAGGATAAACCCTTGGGGCATCTGGGTGGTTCAGATGGTTAAGTGCCTGCCTTCAGCTTGGCTCATGGTCCCAGGGTCCTGGGATCGAGCCCCACACTGGGCTCCCTGCTCGGCCTGCTTCTCCCTCTCCCTCAGGTGTTCCCCCTGCTTGTGTTCTTTCTCTTTTTCTGTCACATAAATAAATAAAATCTTTAAAAAAAAAATGATAAACCCCTTAAGCAATAATGGCCCATTTGGGGCCTTCACTCATCTTGGAGTCACTGGGGAAAAGTCATATGTCAGTTAGACAATGTCAGCTGGGCAAAAACGATCAAGTACAGAAGGACTTGGAACGTCCTGCTACTCTATTTTGAGGTCACTGTTTACAATAAAGCAAAACAGAACCCAAAACTTGAATTGAGACCTCCCATATTTTGGGAAAAAGAGGAACACAGAGTATTTTGAAACCACGACTTGAAAGAGTAGATTTGTGGAGAAAGGGGAACCCTCTTACACTGCTGGTGGGAATGCAAGCTGGTACAGCCACTAAGAAAAACAGTATGGAGGTTCCTCAAGATGTTAATAATAGAGCTACCCTATGACCCAGCAACTGCACTACTAGGTATTTACCCCAAAGATACAGACGTGAGGAAAAGAAAGGGCATGTGCACCCCAATGTTCATAGCAGCAATGTCCACAAGGAGCCGAGATGCCCTTTAACAGATGAATGGATAAAGAAGATGTGGTACATATACACAGTGGAATACTATTCAGCCATCAGAAATGATGAACACCCACCATTTGCATTGACATGGATGGAATTGGAGGGGATTATGTTAAGTGAAGTAAGTCAAGCAGAAAAAGACAATTATCATATGGTTTCACTCATGTGGAACATAAGTAACAGCATGGAGGACCATAGGGGAAGGGAGCGAAATCCAAAGGGGGAGAAATCAGAGAGGGAGATGAACCATGAGAGATTATGGACCCCGGGAAACAATCTGGGGGTTTCAGAGGGGAGGAGGGTGGGAGGAGGGGGTTAACAGGGTGATGGGCATTAAGGAGGGCATGTGCTGTGATGAGCACTGGGTGTTATACTTAACTAATGAATCATTTAACGCTACATCAAAAACTAATTTTGTATGATACAGTGGCTAACTGAACGTAATAATAATTTTAAAAAAAGTAGATTTGTGAAGGCAGAGATTCTTCTGCTGCACAATGGTCAAAGTTTCCAAGCCTTGAGAGAAAAGATTCCCATGACAAGTATTAATCTAGGAGCTTGAGGATACATTAACATACAAAAAAGCAAAATTATAGAAGCCAACCCCCCAGGTTTCTGGGTAGAGAGTATATTTAAAATATACGCCTCAGCTCCAGTGAAGTAACTACAAGGGTGGCCCAAGCGCTTCCTCTCCTTGCATAGGAACATGTGCCATGGAAATGGAGAGAAAAAGAAGGAAGGAGAGCCAAGTCTATCCATGCAGAGTTGCAAAGGAAAATCCCCACACCTCTAAGTGTCAGGTGGATGGGGCAGCTGGGGCCCTGGGGGCCGGGCCCACCCTCAGGCTCACCTCCCCGGCGCCTCCTCTGGCAGGTGCTGTGGCTGGAGGGGAAGAGGGGCAGCTCCGGACGGAGGGCTATGTCTGCTTCTAAACACGAGGAAATGTATTACCTGACAAAAGGTCTCAACAGCAAATCATGCTAGTAGCAAGAGAATATGGAAACCCTCTTCAATTTCTTTTTCTTTTGGGCTCTGATGTATGACAAGCCTAGATTCCCTTCAATTCCATCCTAATAGCCAGCTGGACTAGAAATACAGAAATTCCCTGGCCCTGGCGTCTGACTTTATACTATTTCTCACTTTGCAAACGGACTTCTTGTAAGTACGCTCCAGGACACAGGCACGCATGAGCAGCTTTTCTAAAATCTCTTAATTTCGAAATGGAAATGAGCAACTGGTGTTTAACCAAAAGAACCCATGAAAGAATTCATGGACTGCTCAACTGGGAACAAACATATAATGCACAAAAGAGCGCACTTACACACTCCTGCCCTCTCCTTCCCTGGGGAGGTAAGGTTTCTGGCCAGCGAGGCTGCCTACCCACATAATAAAGCCAATTGGGCTGTGGTTCTAAAAGAACGTTGTCTGATAATGTCCTGTTAAAACTGTCATTTGACTGATAAAACCGTTCCAGTGGGAACTATCTGAAGGGAAAATAAATCTTCTCTCAGCTCAACATTGGCCAGTCAAGGACACCCAGATGCAAAGCTCATTAACTAGTTCTTGCAAGATAGAGCCATTAGTTAAAGGTTACACAGTAACATGCCATCTAGTTTTGTTTTTGATATTGGCACCTCTGCTGTGCCCACCAAGCCAAACCAATGTCTTACCAGTGAATAAAACAATGAACACAGTGCGCGCGCGTGCACACGCACACACACCCCCAAATCCAACCCCCCCACCCCCCACCTCCAAATCTTTCTGAATGGCTCCCACTTGTCTTTGCTGCTTTGTATAGTTTTATATTCATTTCACAAAACACAGGAATCCCTCCTCACCTTTCCGTGTGAGATATTCTGCCACCAGGGCTGTGACATGGACATAACACATCGCTGCCTACAATAAAAGACACGTGCTTCAGAATCACCATGTACAGAGCGCGTCAGAATGCTCCCAGACAGAAATCTAGTGACTGCGTGTACTTGTATTAGATCTCAAGGAAACCAGGGTTCCTAAGAGCTGACATCTTACCTTTTGAAAAAACTGGAACAATTCACATAAACTGAAGTTTTGAAATACATTGCAAATTGAGACAAATGGTAGTAAGTTTGCTAAGGCTCATTTCTGTTTAGAATTACTAAATTTTAGTATAAAAGATTAAAAAAAGCATTTTTTTCTTACTATATTGATGATTTCCACATCATTTCTCTTAAGGTAAAAAGAAGACCATTTGAAGAAAAGGCATGTGTCTTTTTAGATTCTGAGAGAACTGCTCAAATTTCAGCAGCTAATAGTTTTCTCTCAGCTTAAAAAAAGATGTAGCAATTGCTTCCCAACATAGAATTCTAAACCAAAATTATAACTTAATGTTAATTAGATAACATTCTAAACACTTTAAAATGAAAGAAAAAAATAAAAAAAATTTTTTTTAATGAAGTTGCCACAGTGGTATAAAAAAGAGCTGTTGGAAATGAACCTGATTCTGATGACTGAGCCCCTGGTTTTTTGTCAGAATGATAGAAAAATTACTCGTAGTAGTAATATGTAATTCACTTTCATTATGCTAATATGTAGTTTAGATTAAATTTACGATCAAACAGAATGGACTTCTTGAATAATCAATACGTAAAAACAGTTACATAAAATTTTCAGATGTAGAACATAACTGTACTAGTTTAGGCAATTACCGAAGTTTAAAAGTAAAATCATGCTTCTTTGGTAATACTGCTGACCATACCTAAATGCTTTAGGCCCAAATCGTAAACAGTTTTCAGAAGAACACAGAACCTGCCATATAGCCCACTGCTTTCCTTAATGTCTCCCCCTTTTACAGATGGTGTCACGAGGCACAGAGGGGTGAAAAATGGGCTCATCACAGCGAGTAAGTGTTGGATTTGTTCTGTCTCTGGGGACAGACCACACACCCAACTCCCTGCCCCCACCCTGTCTGCTTCTGGAAACATGCTCTGTACACGGGCAGCACTCTGAGGCCTACCACATCCACAGATGACAATGGACTACCTCCAAAAGGAAAAAGCAATGTCCTATCATTACTTTAGTAACAGGAACATTAAATTTCATCATAAAAGAGCTGAATTTTAGAACTAGAGAGGAGTTTTAATGCAGAAACGGAGTGCACTTGAATTAGCAGGTGTGTATGTGACCATGGATGCTTTCTAAGAGCTTTCAAACAATGCTCTCCTGTGACAGAAACATTTCCTTAGAGTGTTGTAAACTGTTGAGATGCTTAGAAGTTGTGAAGCAACCCCAAGCCTAACACTGCTGAAGTATCACTTCTTTCGATTACTGGGAAATTTTTCTTAAAATTGGCTTCTTTTAGTGAATGAGACATAGTTTTCCCAAAAACCCAGCTCAAGAGTCTTGCTGGGCTACCTCAGACAGATCCCCATTCTTGACATGGATCCTGGCCATGCTGTCCAGCCATGTCTTCCTGAGCTCGGGAGTGCTGGCGTAGGACTTGGCCAGACTGTACTGGAGGTCCACCAGCATCTCCGGGTCATTCTCATGCTCCTTCATCTGGGCGGTGGCCATCAGAACTGTGCGTATCCTTTTGGTCAAGTCCTTCACGTCCGAGGAAAAGGTAGTGTGCTAAAACAAGGGTGGAAGAAGGACACATGGCTTTCAGCTGTGTTCTGCCTCTCCACATCCATACTAGATGATGAGGCAGTCTTGAGGGTCACCCACCTTGATGAGCCTGTCACTGTTGGCACAGTTGTTGATGATGGACAGGGACTGCTGGAATCTGGTTCCCCCGATCCCAACAACATCTGCTATCAGCTGGCTGACGGAAATAATGACCTTAGGGACACACAAATGTGAACAAATAATTTCACCTTCAAATGACTCCCCAGACTTGGCTCCTGCCTTCAGTTAGGATGTGCATGCGGACAGGGCAAAGTTTTGAGCACAGATCATTCCAGTGCAGGAAACAGTGTCTGAGTCATCTTTTTCCCTTCCAAGAATCATTTCAGAAGGTGATTTTGCTATCCTTAAGTATTTTGTTTGCATAGCAAAATGCTCATCAGGAAAGTATAGAGGCATGAGAATCAGATAAGCCTGTATCATTTGGATAGTCACTTACTTTCTCTAATAAACAGGGAGACCTTATCATTTACCTCCTTGGTTAACTGGTTTGAATGTATACCCACTAAATATTCAATAAGTAGACTGTCCTTTGCATTTTTTATTAAAACATATACATATTAACTATGCAATGGGGGGGGAATCTGTCTTTATTGGTGTCTGTGATATGCTCTGCCTTTGCCCAGTCACTCAAGCTAAAACATGGATTCCATCTTTATTCCCTCCTTTTCCTTCACCATCCCCAGGTACCATCAATCAATAAGTACTGTCAACTCATTCTCCCCTTCTTCTAACCTTACCATACCTGGTCCAAGACACCATCCTCTCTGGCCTGGATTTGACCATGGTTTCTCCAAAGTCTTTCCAGCTAAGGCCTTGACTCCCTTGATCCATTCTCAGCAACAGTCCAGGCGATCCCTCCAAATATGCAATGACGTCTTCTCAAGTTGTTTTCACCCATATTCTTTACTTTACTGTAAGGACCTTCTCCAGTTCCCTGGACAGGCCCTTCCCCTTGGGCATCCATCGCCTGGAACATGCTCACCCTCCAAACCTGCTAACCCCTATTCAACTTTCACATCTTCTAGAAGCCTCCCTGCCCCAGCCAGATGCCCCTCCCCTCCTCGGTGCACTCGAGTTCCCCTATTACAGCACTGGGGACAGTGTATTGAGAAGAGCTTCGGGGTTTGTCTGTTTTCCAGCAGACTGGAAGTGTGTCCACATGGAGTGTTCACACTCCATGAGGGCCAGGAGAGTGTTCTTTTTTGTTCATGGTTGTATCCATGAATCTTAGCACATAGTTTGCAAACAGTAAGTATTTGTTTAAAAGAGGAATAAACACAGAGATGGAGAAGGCACTCTTACATGAGTTTACAGAAAAAGAGAGCCTACAAAACCACGTAAGACTTTTCATATCTTGCATGGTTCCCAGAGCAGAGCATTTGGGATATTTTGACTCTGGAGAGATTGCAGGTGTGTCAGTATATGGAAGACAGAAAAGAACCACTTGGGGGCGCCTGGGTGGCTCGGTCGGTTAAGAGTCTGCCTTCGGCTCAGGTCGTGACCTTGGGGTCCTGGGATCGGGCCCTGCGCTGGGCTCTCTGCTCAGCAGGGAGTCTGCTTCTCCCTCTGTGCTCACTCTCTCTCAAGTAAATAAATAGAATTTTTTTTTTTTAAAGAACCATTTTGGACTTTCTGTGTTTTACCTAAGATGTCTGCTATGAGGCACCCTCATGCAGATTCTAATAGATGGTGATTCAATGGAATTTCAGTCAGTCCAATATTGAGTCAATATTTAAAAGTCAATTTACCAACAGAAATGCACTTTGGGCCCAAATCTTACAATGTAGAGAACGAAATAAACCAAACCAGTAAATGTGACTTTCCAGTTTTCCATCTCAAGGCCAGATCTTGCCCTACGTACACTGAGGTAAACGGGTAAATACGACGAAGTCTTCCTGCTAACACAGAATCCCACAGAACACAACTGCGCTGCAGAGTGAACTACACGCACCTGCAAATGTGTGCGGACGAAGGACTTCTTTCCAGTGTAGTCGAAGTTGTTCCTCATGAGGAAGTACAGCAGCTGGGAGGCCTCAGTCCTGATGGAGCTCAGCTTCGAGTTGCAGCCCTTGAGGATCTCGTAGCACAGAGCTGCACACATGTCAGCCCTCCCTTCGTAGAATGTCGAGGGGAACTAGGTGAACGCCAGAGAGCAAGGGCAGGTGAAGATGAGTGCGCCCTTCAACTCCAGGTGCAAAGCAGACAGGATGATCTTCAACGAGGGCTTCCCCTGAGGAAGCAGCTTACCTTATAAATGAATGACCTTAAGGCAGTGAAGACATTTTTTAAAGCTGTTTCAGACTGATGTTTTTGAAGAAAACACAGGTAGACGTCAAAAACTTTTTTCATGAGAGGGTTATGTCCATGGTCAGCCAGGAGCTGGTTCTGAGAACACACAAGGACAGCCTGGTTAGTGAGACACACCAGACACCCCTACTACTCAAAGGTTAAATGTCCCAGGTACTAAGACAACTTATAATTTAAACTCTGCCACGAATCTCCAGGAAAGCACAGAATCCTCATGTAGTACGAATAAACCTGTAACTAAATTTCTGTTTTGGAGAGTTTTTTTTTTATTTTTAAAGAGTTTATTTATTTTATTTAAGAGAGAGAGAAAAGCAAGCACGAGTGGGAGGAGGGGCAGAGAGGGACGGAAAGGACAAGCAGACTCCATGCTGAGCATGGAGCCCAACTCGGGGCTCGATCCCTCGACCCAGAGGTCATGACCTGAGCCAAAATCAAGAGGTGGATGCTTAACCGACTGAGCCACCCAGGTGCCCCTTGTTTTTTCCTATATTAAGGGAGGGACTAATCATAAAACTTCCTAGCAAACCATAACATGGCTTGAAAGGCAAGTGTTCCTCAGTACTGATTTGGCTTCTCTTTATTTTTACTGTATACCAGCAACCAATTCAGAGGGAATCTTTGTGATATCTTAATTCCAACAAAGAAGTGCCCTTACAGGTGTCAGCTGATTAACGGGCTGGAAAAAATATCGAAGTGAGGTATATGAAGTAAGGTCCTCTAAAAGTACGTTTGTGGGGGGCCTGGGTGGCTCAGCCCGTTAAGCGTCTGCCTTCGGCTCAGGTCATGATCCCAGGGTCCTGGGATCGAGTTCCACAGCAGGCTCCTTGCTCAGCAGGAGTCTGCTTCTCCCTCTGCTTCTCCCCCTGCTCCTGCTCTCGCACTCTCAGATAAATGACATCTTTAAAAAAAAAAGATAAACTTAAATTTGTTTTTTCCAGGCTTCTCAGGCACTCTGTTAAGCAATGAATAACCAGACAAGCTTGGTAAGGTGGGAAACATACAGGCTTTGATCAGGCAGCGTTTATCATCTGCACAGGTAAACTGAGTCTTACTATTCTCGTCTGTAAAATGGCGACCCTAGAACTGACCTCGCACAGCCACTGCGATTACGCGAGTCAAGTACAGAAAGCATGTGATGCATACTTGGGTCTGGCTCAGTAAGTGTTGGCTAGCAGGATTTTAACAGGTCATGGGTTTTACTCAACAAAGCAAAACAAGAGGGCCAACAGTTCATACTTCTCACCGTTCGGCCAGATTTTCTCACACCAGCAGTAAATTCATACTAACCCAATGCCTTGTATAAACCTGGTTGCTGAGCTAGAAGCCAGGATGCAGCCACCGTGTCTAAACGTGTGGGACACTACAGAACTACACCTTCAACTACGCGCAAAGACGTGTGTGTTTGGGAGAGGGCACACGTCTGCATTCTGCACAAGTAGGCAAAGATGATTTTAATAAAAAAAGGTCAGGAGGCCAGTATCTCAAACTGATCTTACAATTGTGCCAAATGACTGGAGATAGCTTATGGCCAAGTAATTCTGTTAAACGGCAAAGTATGGCTAGAGTATGAGTGTTAAGATTTACCTCCTCTTACTTTGGAGAAAAATTTTACTCAAGGGGTAAGTTTTGTTTTCTTAGGTCCAGTGATTCACAGGTGAATGCACAGCTGGTAGGACACCGGGAATTCACAGGGATCTTTATAACATGAATACTGAGGCACAGCACTGAACTTCATCATGTGAAAGAGAAACAATTTAATGAGCAGAAAATGGGACTTAATCAACTGAATATGCTATCATTCTCAACCATGAGCAGCTGTTCACCAACTGGAAAAAAAAGGCTGTTTCCAGTGTTTTGGGAACTGCTTACACGGTTTGTTGTCTGTGAACATTACTTTTCCCAGGGGCCACCGTTCTCCCTAATTATGGCTGGATTAAGGTTTGCGCAGATCTGGATGTGAGCTTTCCTTCTCTCAGCACTATCTGCTGGAGACATCCAGAAGAGACGGTGCGTACAAAAATCACCAGGAGCCCTGGTCTTGCTGTTGAACTGGCCTGTCTCCAAGTTCTTACCCCAGGAGTTAAATTTTCCTTCCTGACTCTCTCTGGTCAAGGTTGTGCTTCCCGTTTTCAGGATTTAGTCTTCTTGGGTTCTGATCCCAAAACCCACTTGCAAGAATGCAGTTAAAATCACTCACACTGGGCGCCTGGGTGGCTCAGTTGGTTAAGCGGCTGCCTTCGGCTCAGGTCATGATCCTGGAGTCCCGGGATCGAGTCCCGCATCGGGCTCCCTGCTCGGCAGGGAGTCTGCTTCTCCCTCTGACCCTCCTCCCTCTCATGCTCTCTGTCTCTCATTCTCTCTCTCTCAAATAAATAAATAAAATCTTTAAAAAAAAAATCACACTAAGATATAAGTAACTCCTCATTTCAAGGGGTAAAGGACCTCTTACCCTGGACACACCCCCGTGTACCAGCTGCCTTCTGTAATCTTCCAATCAATTTTCTTTCCTCCCTCTCTCTGCTGTCTCTTTTTCACTAATTAGAAAGTTATATACACTAAATATAAAAAAATTTTGAACATTCAGAAAGGTCCACGGCGGGAGGGGGGAAGCAAAAACAAAACCACCCTTCACTTCTCCACTCAGAAATCAACACAGGTAACACCAGAGTGTACCTCACTTCTACTTTTTATCCCTGTAGACTTGTAGTGAGGATAGGAAAATTTCATTCAGGAAAGTAAATGAGACACTAAGACAATATGAAAGGCATGACTTCTCTCTAGCAACAAGGTGGAGCACAGGTTATAAATAAATCTCAGGAACTGTCTGATGCGGATGCAGGTTTGACTGTTATAACACATCCTCCTAGGGGAAATGAGCCTTTCAGAGAATGAAGACACAACATCAGTAATTTTTAAAGATCCAGGAATAGGATGTAAACGACTTTAAACCCTCGGTACCAAAATGAGATGTCTAGAACCATGCTATTTAAGACAGATACACCTTTCCTAGGCATATGGCACTGAGTTTTATTTAGAGAGCGCTTTAAGAATCCACCTGAGAGAAGAGCTGTTTCAGTTGCAAATGCTTACCAATCACTAAGGTGACCTAATCTCATGTGTCTTTGCAGACCAGGCTTATGGTTGTGTAAACCACACCACAAACTCCCTAGAAGTACCCAATATCCAAGTGCTCCTCACCGTCACGGACTGATTCTCACCAGGCAGCTCAAATCAAGAAAAGGCACAAGGTGGAATCGCTAAAAATATGTTCTCAGGTTAAATTTGTAAACACATTAAAAAAGATTATCAACTATTTAAAGGCCAGGGTTGACTTGGGATCATGTTAATCACAGACGTTGTAAAATTACCAGAGAAGAATCATATTTTTCTGCATGTAACGACCTTGGTTTATAAAACACACCCTTTTATGTATTAAATGAGAGAACATATGTGAAAGCATCCAACACAGGACCAGCATCTGGTAAGTGCTTGGTAATATTCTCCTTTTTTTCTGTATGGGATCATTCAACTACCTTGATGTCCCTCAGCTTATCTTTTCTCTCTCTGTCCCCACCCTGCCATCACCTCCCACCCAACGCCTGGCTTAGTGGGTGGAGAACGAGGGCTTTGGCAGGCCAGGTGTGCAGTGATCCTGGGCAAATTTTCTGACCTGTCTCAGCCTCTCATCTGTAAAATGGGGATTAAAGATCCACGAGGCCAGGCTGTTGTGAAGATTAATGCTTGAGGTACAGAAGGCACTCAATAGCAGGGCTTAAATCTTTTCAAACATTTTCTCTCATTAAGAATGTGTTTTCTTGGCTACCTTTGACAACTTACTAGACATGGTCAATTCAGAGACTCAGTCATGATGGGGCTTTATCTGTGGAAGATGATTTTTCTCGAATTACATCAGCTAACTCAATGCAATTAATTTAATTTTTCTGAAATGCTCCAGATGATGCCTCAGCTGAGTAAATTATTTGCAGGGCAAGATCCCAGTGGCTGCTTTGCCAGTGGGCCTCATGAACCTGTAATCTAGGCCAGGTAAGCCTGCAGCGGGGCATGACATCCCTTCCTGCTGTAGCATCTGCCCATCTTCCCACTTTTTCATGGGGGCGCTGAGCTTTAAATGTTTCTGCACACAGGCATGTAGACTTTGAAAGAGATCACCTCAGCACTCAAGCTCAATCCTCCCCCTGGGTCTGTGCACTTCTAACAAGCTCCCGGGTCTGCAGCCGCTGCCGGCTGGGGGACCACGCTCTCCATGGAACAGGACATGGCTGCCCCCACACTCATTTGATGAGGGTCTGTATTTCGTCTCTCCACTGGGTTCCTAGTAATGACATTTCGGGCGGACGTGAGTGGCGTGGCTGCTGAGAAGAATAAAGGTATCGCCTAATAAAGTGACATGATATCAGGGTAACTATTTTTACCCTAATAAAGAAATGTGCTTTATGAGAAGCAGAGATAAGGTAAAGCAGAAAATGACTTCGGTTAACTTTTTCAAATATCCTTGGAAACACACTGTTTCAATATTCATAGCATTATCAACACTAATTCAACTTCCTTTTTCTGCGCTGGAAATGGAAGCAATCAATTAGCAAGACTGCGAAGTGTCAGGTTCCTAAAATCAAGCGAATGGCTTGCGAAACCATTTCCATCTACTTGAATATTACTTGCTGAAACCTAAAAATAAGACCGAAACCACCTTTTATTTTCTATCCTTGAAATGCTTCTATCACTTAATCTACTGACATATTTTTTTTTAAATTGTAAGAGGTGAATGTGTTTCTACTTATTGCTCTTCTATATATAAATAGCTAATTTTAACTGCTGCTACATTTGGATATTATCATAGATAGTAGGGGCAGAAATGCTGATTAGGTTCCTATACTTATCATCCTCGAGGGCACAGAAAACCGTGTTCCCCAGGTGGATGCTTTCTTCCGGCCAAGAGTTAACCACCTCCAGGGACTGCTTCCATCATGTGCAAGTATGCAGCACACCCTGACCAGCTAAACTTTATTTCAAGGAATTCAAGTCATTAACCATGGACCGCTTTCATTAAGGTATCTTAAGGATGAGTGGTTTCTTTACAGGGGCAAAAACAGTTGCTGAAATAAAAAATACAACACAGGAAGTTCTTGCTGGTTCCACTAAACGAGCAGAATGAATTTAAAAGGTAAAGCTCTGACCGCGGCCAGCTGTTCAATACAAACCTTAAATGCCAGTGTAAACAGAGAGAGTGTGTCTAGAGCCGTGAGGCACACCTCAGTAGCGATGTTGGCTTCCAGCAGCGACTGGTGAAGAACGTCGGCGTCCGAGTGGCCGTAGCCTGCGTGGATTACAACACAAGGTTACTGCCCGGTGACTGCAGACAAAGAGGCTGGCCGCACAGTATGGTTGCAGTCAACTTCTGATTATTTACAGAAGGCTTATTTCCCTTTTTCAGTGGTGGGGTGGGGGTAGGTAATTAATAATGTGTCCGTTCAATTAGAACTCTTTTTCAGTTCTGGAAGGGAAAGAAGAGCAGCAAACATGTACTGTGTGCTATGTGCCAGCCATAACTCTATGAACTTGACATGTATTAGCTCATTTAATCCCACAGCAGCCCTGTGAAGTATGTACATTATTAAACCCTCCGAGCAGAGAAGGAAACTGAGGCACAGAAAAGCTAAACAGTTTGTCGGGGGGAGGGGGCGCCTGGGTGGTTCAGTCGTTAAGCGTCTGCCTTCGGCTCAGGTCATGGTCCCAGGGTCCAAGGATCGAGCCCCGCATTGGGCTC